GGGAGGAATGCCCCCCTTCATTTTACCATAATTTGATATTTTGCAATTAAGTTTGATATTTTCTTGAAAACAATTGACTTGCAAGGGTTTTTAGTTTTACTGGCCACATGTGTTCTGCAGCAATTTAGCCCCCAAAACATTATTCATTATCCGCATAAGGGTCCGAAAGTAAAAATTTACTAGGTTACAAACCCCAAGAGTAGGGGGGCCTGACCTAATAAATACATTGGGGGGGAGTTCAGAGCGGTGCTCCCCTGAAATTTACCATAATTGGATGCTTTGCAGTTGGGTTTGATATCTCTCACTCGCCGCGCATCAAATTCAAACATATAGACCTAGATCTAGAGCGGGTTCGGGTCACTGCAGCCCCCTAAGCTTATTGAGACTTGCTCGCCTAATCCTTTCGATTTTGCTTTGCCTCTTGCTTTGTTTGTGTTCTCTATCCGGGTCAACATTATATCTAATCAAAATTTTGAATCGGGTTTTCTTACGAGGTACTTCGACTAGATAGTCGCGTCACGTGCTGCCAGGCCACCTGAGGTGGTGTGACACCGGCCCCCCGTCGGCAGGTCAGGCCAGCATGGACAAATGTGGTAAATCTCATCACCACAGTAACAGAAGGGTAATCAACCAAATAACATTTATTTGCAAATAGAAATATTAACAGCTGAATTAAATGTAGAAAGAACAGTTCCAAAGAGAAACCAAAAACACCTTTTTAACTTGATCTTAGTTACATTTATTTGCAAATAGAAAGACTAGGCTAACGGCTTAATTATATGTAAAAAGAACAGTTCCAAAGAGCAACCCAAAAAAGCTACTTATGAAAATGTTGAATAAAAAAACATTAGTAGGAAGCATGCCAACTTATAGCAGGCTAAAAGCACCATTTAAAGTAATTTTTTTGCATGATTTGAGTTTGTCATTTTCGTTCTGTGCCGGATCCGACGAAACATCAAATTTTTTTGCGGCAGATCCGGCCACCCTCCACCAGCTATAAATAACCAACTGTAGAATAGAAGCTCAAAGCCAAGGGGAAACGAAAATAGACACATTTATGAAGTCTGTTCATAGCTAAAAATAGACCTTAACTTTGATTGGATGATGCAGAGAGCCTTAGCCAACCAGATTGAATGGATTATGTTTTCTCTTACGGAAGACCAAAATTGACCCAAAAACGAAGCCGAGGCGGAAAGGTCACCGGCAGTACGTACATAATCAAAAATGCAGCTAGAGTCTAAATCTAGATCTAAACTAAATATTTTGTTATCCGGGAGGTATGGAGATATGCCCACGAAATACAAATACGGAGTTCGAGTGGGGTGGCCGGATGGGCTGACCTGCCAGATGAGCCGACCCCGCTTTAGGTTCTAGAGATCCAATTAAAGGGGGTGGGAACCAGGGTTGGGTTGACTTAAATCAGTTGATTTTTTAAATTTAAATCAACTTGATTTTTAAAATAAAAATCAGTGATTTAAATAACTTTTTTAAATATTTATTTTTATTCAGTTTTTACACATTTCAACATTCAGAATTCCTTTTCTTGGTTTCATAAAACAGATATAAGGTTTAGTAGACTATAATATATTCATGCTTAAAAGTCTGCTTTCCCCCTTTTCACTGTAAAATAATACAGATTCAAATTACTTTTTTTTCCATAATTGAAATCAGAGCTGGGTGTTGATTTTTAAAATTTTAATCAGTGATTTAAATCACTTTTCAAAAAAATGTATTCAGTTTTTACATATTATATATTTAAACATTCAGAATTCCTTTCCTTGGTTTTATTAAACAATATAAGGTTTAACTTAGTACACTAATATAATCATGCTTAAAAGTCTGCTTTCCCCCCTGTCACTGTAAAATAATACAGTTCTCAATTTACTTTTTTTTCATAATTGAAAACCAGGGTCGGGTTGATTTAAATCAGTTGATTTTTTAAATTTTTAATCAAATTGATTTAAAAAATAAAACTCAGTGATTTAAATCACTTTTTAAAAAAGTATTCTGTTTTTACATCTTTAAACATTCAGAATTCCTTTCCTTGGTTTTATAAAACAGATGATATATACAAGGTTTAGTAGACTAAA